AAGAGACATCAGAACTATTAACTGTATGGTTTCCACAACCTAGGACAGTCTTCATATTGGAAAATTTAGAACCAACAACATTAAGGTTTGGCAGCAGCTCATAAACAGAAGAGAACTTTTCAGGACAGACTTATTAAATGGATTCAAGACTTTGGGGCCAAACTGGTGGAGTTTGGGGTAGAATTTGGGTCATGGGTTAATGATAGAGTTTGGGGGTCAGACAGACCTGGGATTGAATTTCTCCACTGCTTATTAGCTGTGTGACTTTGGGCAGTACTTAACCCCTCTGATCCTCAGTTTCCTCATCTGTAAAATAGGGATAATAATACATATTGGGTTGTTGTAACATTGAAAGAGAACATAGAACCCGATAAGGAGAGTACATCAGTAGATGACAGGTTTTGCTATTATTACCTCCAAGTTCTGAGTCATATGCTCCTTACATATTTGTACAAAGTTTTATTATTTATAGGCATTCTTTCACATGCATTATTATGTTTAGTTCTCACTATAATAGTGAGAAGTAGGACACTTTTATGTTAATTTTATAGATAGAATAGAGATATAGAGATGACCCCCAACTCCTCCAGCCTGCCCCACCAACCTGTAAAATTGATTCCTGAATGACAGGAGTTAAATCTGATTCTCTCTCTATTCTTTTTAAGAATTAAAATCAGTACTTCTTGGATGCCTAGGTGGCTCAGTCAGTTGAACATCTGCCTTGGCTTGGGTCGTGATCCTGGGGTCCAGGGATCAAGTTCCACATCAGTCTCCTTGCTCAGTAGGGAGCCTGCTTCTCCCTCTGCCTGCCTCTCCCCCTGCTTGTGCTCTCTCTATGACAAATAAATAACTAAAATCTTAAAAAAAGTAAAATGAGTACTTTTCGAAAAATCAAAGAGCAGGGAAAAAAATGTCATCAGTTTTGAGAAGCAAATCTGTTCTAACTTTCTAATTAAAGAAAGGAAGGATTTTTGTAAATCAAATAGTGAGGTTTATATTGATCCCAGAGAAATCTGAGAACAATTTTTGAGTAGATGATTTGTGAGTATTTCAAAAAGCTAAGTTAGCTTCATTTTCTTTTCTTCTCTATGTTACTTTATTTAATTAATTTAAAAAATTTTAAGCTCCATTTTCTTTTTAAAAAAATATCAGCATTAGGCAGTTTAGGAAATGATGGGCATTTCAAAAATCTGCTCATTTTCTTATAAAATAATGAAAAAAATAACCATATGGTAACATTGTATATTCACCAAAAGAATGATAATGTTACTCTTTAGTACCAATTAAGGCATACAGATAATTTTCATTTACATGATTTCTCTGGCTTGTACAAGTCTGTGGATGAGGCAGGAGTGTTCCATTTATTATTTTCTTCTAATAACAACGGAAGCAAAAAACACTGAAACTCAGAGTAATTTAGTGGTTTGTCAAGTTTTACAGCTGTAATCCTTGAAAAAAAAATCTGTAATCCAGATTTTTGGGTTTAAAGGCTTTTCCATGAACACTCACAGATTATTGGACAGTTAGACCCATTTAAAATTTGGGTTCGTTTATTTGCATTTATTCATTTGCTCAATTAAGCAGTATACTGAGGTGGGTATTATGGAGGGCACATATTGCATGGAGCACTGAGTGTGGTACATAAACAATGAATTCTCAAACACTGAAAAGAAATAAAATAAATTTTAAAAAATGTGTGCCAGGGACAAAGTTGTTTGTTTTTGTCTACCACCTCCTGGTACCCAAAGCTTTGATATCCTTAAGTGAGCTCTAAGTCAAGATCAGTAATGGCAGTGACTTTTATGTATGAGTTCTCTGAACCTTGGGATCAGGTTGGGATGGAGTCAGTGCTTTTAGTTATGGAGAAGAGCACTGAATGTTAGCAAATTATTTTCTTTCAAGGAGAGGGTGCCTGGGTGGCTCAGTGGGTTAAGCCTCTACCTTCGGCTCTGGTCATGATCTCCAGTCCTGGGATCAAGCTCCACATCAGGCTCTCTGCTCAGCAGGGAGCCTGCTTTTCTCCTCTCTCTGCCTGCCTTTCTGCCTACTTGTGATCTCTCTGTCAAATAAATGAATAAATAAATCTTTAAAAAAAAAGAAAAAAAAAAGAAAAGAAGGAGATGGTTGAAATCCAGGGAAGAATCTTTGGCTTGATAGTGACTTTGACTAGGCAGCAGCAACTAGCTTGATGATCTATAATTCTTCAAAATACAAAATAGTATATTAATATATATCATATAAGAGGAAGAGTTGATATTATCAACTTTGAGCCTAATCAAGACTCAAAGTAATATAAATGGCCTGAAATGTCAAAACAAAGAAGGTGAAATATTGATCAAAAATTAAGGAGGTGCTCAAAGAGTGAAGGGAATATATCAAAAAGATGTAGAAGCCTGAATGAAGGGGATCTCACTGGCCGAATATGGGACAATGTGAGTATCAAAATAAATAGCGATAGTAAAAAATTTTACCCACTGAATAAAATAGGGAAACCCTGAGTCCATACTATTATAAATAAATTGGCAAAAAATAAAAATTTGCTATGGAATAGGATAATGCCATATTCTCACAATACCTCCCACAAAACATGTGATAGGAGAGTAACTGTGCAGGGATGCCGTTGTGGCTTTGTCAGTTAAGCATCTGCCTTCTGCTCAGGTCATGATCCCAAGGTCCTGGGATCGAGTCCCACATCGGGTCCTTGTTCAGTGGGGAGCTGGCTTCTCTCTCTGTATGCTGCTCCCTCTGCTTGTACTCTCTTTCTCTGACAAGTAGATAAATAAAATCTTTAAAAGAGTAACTGTAAAGTGAAAGCACCTGATAAACACCATATTAATCTAGTGATCAAAGTTAACATCACCAATAACTGGGACCAACTGTCATGTGCCTGCCGATAGGATGCAATGAGAAGAACACAACGTGGTGTGCCAGCCTAAGATGCAGAACCTGAATCGATGTGCATAACCTGAGAAGACAAGAGGCAAACCCGAATTGAAGGATATTCTACAAAATAACCAATCTAAAATATTCAGAAGCGTCAAGGTAATGTAAATCAAAGAAGGAATGATTAATTTTTCCAATTTAAAGAGGAATAAGGAAACATGACAAATAAATGTAACATGTGATTCTGAATTGGAATAGTTATGATAAAAGACATACTTTGAAAACTGGCAAAATTTAAGTAGGGTCTGAGGATTAAATGGGATTAACAATGTTAATTTCCTGGTTTTCATAGTCTCAGGACCCAGCAAAGAAAGAGATTTTGTTTGTAGGGAATATAAACAAAAGTATTAAAGATGATGGGTCATCAAGTTGACAGTGAACTCTCAAAAGGTCCAGGAAAAAATGTTATTTGTGTTGTACATGTATGGCACTTGACTTTCTCTGGAATATGAGATTGTTTCAAAAATTTTTTAAAAAAGTGTAAGAAAATCTAATTGGAATAAATGGAAGGCACTGCATGGTAAAAAGCAATGATTTACATGTTTCTTATGGATCTGGGAAGTTGGATATATCAGACTATGAATTTGAAAAAAAGCAAAACAGAAAAGAGCTAAAATGTTAATAAGATCTTACATTATATAAGGGCAGTGTGCAAATTCTAAGAAGTAATAATCCTACTCTGTGCTAATCAGAATATATCTGGAATAGAGTACTCAATATTTAAACATGGTCCCCCAAATAAATGTACGCTTATTTATTTATAAATGGCACACATGCACTACTGTACTAATTTATGAACATCATAAGCATACACTAAACAGAAATGAAAAAGGATGGGATAAAAATAAATATAAATAGAATTTCCGGTATTTGTTCTTGTATCCTAATGAACGATCCTGCATTGCCCTGCAGTGTATGTATTCCAGTATGGAGAGAGCTGGTACAGAAAGTTGATTGTGAAGAAATGACAACTGAAGCACAGGGATTAAGGAGAAGGCTATTACAGTAGTGTAGGTCAAAGGGGTGGCTTGGACTACCACCTAGTGGCAGTAAAAATGGAAGTAAGTGGATAAATCAGATGTAAAATTTGAATTTAGAACTGATAGGACAAAATCAGTGAAGGGAGGATAGTGGGAAAGGAAAAGGAAAAAAATCAAGGACTTCTGAATTTGTGGCTTTCATATTTTGGTGAACAGTAGATGAACCAGCTGATCTCTGTTTTGTTCCAAAGTATACAACTCTGACTAATGGATAACATTACAAAATGGTACATGGCAAGATGACAACAACACAAACAACAACTAAAAAAAACCCCACAACTAAAAAAAGAAAAGAAAAGAAAAAAGAAAAGAAAAGAACAACAAAATAGACTATACAATCATCTGCCAGGGATTCTGTAAAAGATGTATCTAAGGGGCGCCTGGGTGGCTCAGTGGGTTAAAGCCTTTATCTTCTGCTCAGGTCATGATCCTGGGGTCCTGGGATCAAGCCCTGCATCGGGCTCTCTGCTCTGCGGGGAGCCTGCTTCCTCCTCTCTCTCCCTGCCTGCCTCTCTGCCTACTTCTGATCTCTGTCTGTCAAATAAATAAATAAAATCTTAAAAAAAATTTTTTTTTAATTAAAATAAAAAAGATGCATCTGAATTGGGAAAGGAGTGTTAGGTTACCTCTAAGGTGTCTTCTAACTCTTAAGAATTCATGGATCAAGGATGACAGGTCAATGTTTCCTTAAAGAATGCCATGCAACTTCAGAGCAGCTTTAAATAAACAAGTTTATAATTTTACGTACAGGTATTTGATAAAGAAGTTTCCACAATGCATCTGTATATATTTAAGTTCTTTCTTTGAATAATATAAAGTTAGCTTAAAAAATAGGTTTTTCACAAAATATTCCTGAATGCAGTAATCATGACTAAAAAATGAACTAATTTTGAAATTTAGTCTACTTTTTTTTTTTTTGGTTCTTTTTATGTAACATGTTATATTTAGTATTCTTACAGAATACAAAAATACTAGGATAACTCAAACCTAACAATATACATATTTTTCTTTCTATAGGAAAGCACAAGAAGAAGACAGAAGTACTGTAAATCTCAAGAAATTCTGAATGAAATAAAAAGTTCTCCACAACAATCCAGCAGCATACAATTCCCCAATTCATTTTATGAATCCCATCAAGATTCTGCCAGTCCAGACATAGTCAATAATTTGAGATCTTCATCTTGGTATACATATACTTCTACAACTGGTATGGAGATAACAGACTTTACTCTTAGTGAGGAGATGAAGGCAGACATGTATTACTATGGCTTCATCATTCTTTTTCTTTTGACTTTAGTATGTCTTGCTTTATATTTTCTATGACGATATCAAATAAAATCCTTTTGATAATTTTTAAAGTTGCCAGTTCTTCATAGAAATGTTACATTCTTATTTCAGGATTTCCTTCCAGACATTTTCAAGGTAATTGGCTTGCTACAATATGGGCATTCACCAAATATGATGTTAAAACTCTGTCTACTAGTCGGTAGTCCTCTCAACCACTCATATAAGCATATTTGATGGAAAGGCTGTCCACACTGGGAGTTATCACACACTTGATCAGGAATGGCGCCATCAAGCTGATAGGCATAACAAATCCCACAATCCATAGAAAAATCAGATTTTTCCAGGTTAGCACGAGCTGGAAAATCTATTTCTAAAACATCTTTCAAGTTTTGTAACAGACTATTTTCTGGATCCCACAAATGTATGTTCCTGCTCAGCTTAATTCCCAGAGGTTTTACCACATGGTCTGCTCCAAGAAAGCAGTACTCAGGAAGCATACTAGGATGCCTGGGGTCAACCTCTATATTTATTGAAGCATTATTTCCTAGTGCAATTCTGCGTGCTGTCGCACTCCGGGTAGGTTTTTCTGGCTCAAGCACCCAAGTCTTCTCATCGATTTCATCCATAACATCCCAGAATGCCTTCAGTGATTCTAAGGCTGCCAAAAACTGACCGTAAATGCTTATTAAGGAGCTCTGTGGTGTCCAGGAAATAGAAAATGAAACAGGAAAATCCACGAAACAATCTGGAGATTCTGCTGGGTACTTTGCCTTCAACTTGAGAGTTATTAGATGCTTTCTACCAGAAGCATCTTCAGCTTTTAACTTGATGGTACTGAGACAAGTATCCACATATACAAGTTTATCCCAACCAAGAGTTCCTATCTCTTCAATAAGGCTGGAGTAGAACTGGGGAGGCAGAGGTGGTGCATACAACTCTTGTTTATTCTTTAAAGCAACTTCCAAAATCATCTTCAACTCCATCATAAAGCTCATTAGATCAGGAGAGTGCTGCATTCTCTGTTGTACTATGTGATGGTATCCATTAAGTATTGCTCTCAGTTGCCAACTACATAATAATCTTGCATTCTTCATTTGTAAATCTTCAGGCAACACTATTCTAAGGTGAAAATCACGTCCCTGAGCCGAAATGAATCCTTCGTACACGGTTTTCGCCCGGTTCTGAGGCAGAAGCAGCGGGCACTGGCGCAACAGGCTCGCTTCCATCTCCGCCATGGTCCGCAGTCCGTGGGGCCGCTAGTCTACTTTTTTTTTTTTTTTTTTTTTAATTACCATCTGGGTACCATGTGAAGAAATTCCATATGAACAGTAGTAAATCTAGATTTGATGCCAAATCTGTTAAAATCAATAGCAATCATTCTCACTTCCCTGCCAAATTAAAAGACAAAAGCTAAGTGGGCCTTTCAGCTTGGCATTAGAATGTGTAAAGACTTTTGTAATCTTTTTAAATATTAATTTATATCACTGGGTTCTGGTAGTGGCAGTAGTTTTGAATTCTCTTTTGTCTAGGAATGTCTAATACAATATTATTGTTTTAATCCAATTACATAGTTAATGTACTCTTACAAATACAAGATACATATAAAGATAAAATATGAATCCTCATGGTTCCATGCAGACTCCAATGTCTAGTATTGTTATAGAATACAAAATCAACCAATAGTGAGGGAGAAATTGGTATTTGAAGGGAAGGAACCAGGTATAAGAGACTACAGCGTATGAATTAAATGTCACTCAGATATTTATAAATTAGAAAAATATAACTAATTTTCCATATTCTGAAAGATGTTCCTTTATCACTTCCTTCCAAAAGACTCTTTTATCTTGAAGACTGTCATTCTATTTATAGGCCTTAATTTCTTTTTTTTTTTTTTATTGTGTTATGTTAGTCACAATAGGGTACATTATTAGTTTTTGATGTAGGGTTCCATGATTCATTGTTTGCATATAACACCCATTGCTTCATGCAATCTGTGCCCTTCTTAATACCTCTCACCAGATTCACCCATCCCCTGACCCCCTCCCTTCTAAAACCCTCAGTTTGTTTCCTGGAGATAATAGTCTCTCATGGTTCATCTCCCGCCCTGATTTCTCCCCCTTCATAATGTCCTCCATAGTATTCCTTATGTTCCACAAATAAACACAACCATATGATAATTGACCTTCTCTGTTTGACTTATTTCACCTAGCATAATCTTCTCCAGTCCCATCAATGTTGATGCAAAAGTTGGGCATTCAGCCTTTCTGAATATTCCATTGTGTATATGCACCACAACTTCTTTATCCATTCATCTGTTGAAGGGCATCTCAGCTCTTTCCACAGTTTGGACATTGCTGCTATGAACATTGGGGTGCATATGTCTCTTCTTTTCACTACATCTGTATCTTTGGAGTAAATACCCAGTAGTGCAATTGCTGGGTTATGCAGTAGCTCTATTTTTAATTTTTTGAGGAACTTCCACACTGTTTTCCAATGTGGCTGCATCAATTTGCATTCCTACCAACAGTGTAAAAGGGTTCCCCCTTCTCCACAACTTCTCCAACATTTGTTGTTTCTTGCCTTGTCAATTTTTGCCATTCTTACTGGTAGAAGGTAGCATCTCAGTGTGGTTTTGATTTGAATTTCCCTGATGGCTAATGATGATGAACACTTTTTCATGTGTCTGTTAGCCTTTTGTAGGTCTTGTAGCCTTTGTAGGCTAATGTCTTCTGCCCATTTTTTATTTGATTGTCTGTTTTTTGGGTGTTGAGTTTGAGAAGTTCTTTATAGATCTTGGATATCAGCCCTTTGTCTGTAGAGTCATTTGCAAATATCCTCTCCCATTCTGTGGGTTGCCTTTTGTTTTGTTGACTGTTTCCTTTGCTGAGCAGAAGCTTTCTATGAGGCCAGCATTACCTTGATCCCAAAACCAGGCAAGGACACCATTAAAAAGGAGAATTTCAGACCAATATCCCTGGTGAATACAGATGCCAAAATTCTCAACAAGATCCTAGCTAATAGGATCCAACAGTGCATTAAAAGGAGTATCCACAGCAAGCAGATGGGATTCATCCCTGAGGTGCAAGCATGGTTCAACATCTGCAAATCAGTGTGATAGAACACATAAATAAGAGAAGAGACAAGAACCACATGGTCCTCTCAATTGATGAAGAAAAAGCATTTGACAAAATACAGCATCCTTTCCTGAGAAAAACTCTTCAGAGAATAGGGATAGAGGGAACATTCCTCAACTTCATAAAATCCATCTATGAAAAACCCACAGCGAATATCATTCTCAATGAGGAAAAGCTGAGAGCCTTCCAACTGAGATCACACGACAAGGATGCCCACTCTTGCCACTATTCTTCAACATAGTACTAGAAGTCCTAGCAACAGCAACAAAAGAAATAAAAGGTATTCAAATTGGCAAAGAAGTTAAATTCTCTTTCTTCACAGATGACATGATACTGTATGTGGAAAATCCAAAAGTCTCCACCCCAAAATTACTAGAACTCATACAGCAATTCAGTAATGTAGCAGGATAAAAAAGATCAATGCAGAGAAATCAGTTGCTTTCTTATACACAAACAATGAAACTAGAAAGAGAAAATAGAGAATAGATTCCACGTATAATAGCACCAAAATCCATAAGATACCTTGGAATAAACCTAACCGAAGAGGTAAAGGATCTATACTCTAGGAATTACAAAACAGTCATGAAAGAAATTAGAGAAGACACAAAAAGATGGAAAAACATTCCATTCTCATAGATCAGAAGAACAAACATTATTAAAATGACTATTCTGCCCAGAGCAATCTATACTTTTCAACACCATCCCAATCAAAATATCAATGGCATTTTTCAAAACGCTGGAACAAACAATCCTAAAATTTGTATGGAACCAGGAAAGACCCTGAATCACCAAGGAAATGTTGAAAAAATAAAATCAAAGCTGGGTACATTACATTGCCTATTTTCAAGCTATATTACAAAGCCATGATCACCAAGACAGCATGGTACTGGCACAAAAACTGACACATAGACCAATGAAAGAGAGTAGAGAGCCCAGATATGGACCCTCAACTCTATGATCAAATGATCTTTGACAAAGCAGGAAAAAATATCCGATGGAAGAAAAGACAGTCTCTTCAATAAATGGTGCTGGGAAAATTGGACAGCTATATAGAGAAGAATGAAACTCAACCATTCTCTTACACAAGACACAAAGATAAACTAAATGGATGAAAGACTTCAATGTGAGGTAGGAATCCATCAAAATCCTAGAGGAGAACATAGGCAGTAACCTCTTCGACATTGACCACAGCAAATTCTTTCAAGACACATCTCCAAAGGCAACAGAAACAAAAGCAAAAATGAACTTTTGGGACTTCATCAAGATACGGGCCTTAATTTTATCCTTCAGTTAATTATATCTTCTGACAAAGGGTATAAGTGGGAAAGAGGTACCATAACAACTCAATGCCTATATTTTTATCTCATGAATGAATGGATATTCATTCATGAGATGAAAAACAAGTCATAGTTTGGAATGAATTACTTATTTAAAACTCGTTCCCCTACCTTTAGCCAGACACTGCTAACTTTGGGGGTCATAAATTTGAAGGAGATGATTCCTGCTCACAAGGCACTCAGTTAGCAAGCCCTCTTGCTCAACCATAGACTCCACCAGTTAAAATCAGAAATAGAAAAGATAGCTTAACTTGCGCTCTAACTAAAATCCATCGTGCTTATTTCTTATCAGACTTTCTTGAGGCATTAATGAAGTTGTTTTGCAATGACTGGAACATTCCAACCACCAGGCCAGAAAAGCCCAGATAGCAATGGACTGCCTAGAAGACCACACACATCCCCTTCCCTATGCATGTTCATGGGCTGAGCACATACCGACCCCTCTTCATGATCATGGACCCTCTGCCTGCTGTC